TTTAGTAAAGTCATAGAAAAGTATCCATTATATGTTTATATACTGGCAAGGAGCGGTTGGAAATTAAGACCAATAAAAAAAAAACACTTTGAGGCACTAGCATCAAAGTACTTAGGGACACACAATACTCATTAAATTTAACAAAATACGCACAAGATTTGTAGTAAAACACGGACCTAAAATAATCGAAAGCTATACCCTGTGCATGAGTTCAAAGACTCAATATTAGTAAGCTGTCAATTCTCTCCCAAATTTATCTACACAGATTCAATACCTCTCTAACCAAAATTACAGCTGACGCTTTTTTTGTTTTTTGTGGTTTCTCAAAGCTGATTTAAAATTTACATGGAAAGGCAAAAGGCTTAAGACAGTCAAATTTTAAAACAACAAAATTGGAGGACTCATATTGCTTGATTTCAAGACTTCTTATACAGCAACACTAATTAAGCCGTATGGTTTTGATTTAAAGCACACACATATAGATCAATGGGAAAAAATTGAGTGCAGAAATAGACCCACACATATGGACAAATGATTTTCCACAAACGTGCCTTGGTGAAGAAAGAGTGGTACATTCAAAAAATACAACCCATACCTTGTGAAAAGTTAAGTTACACAGTCGTAGGCTGAAATGTAAACTGTAAGACTTCTGTAAGTAAACACAGGAGATCATCAAGTGACTAATGGATAAACTATATATAGTATGTCCCTACAATGGAATATTATTAGGCCATAAAAAGAAATAAAGTACTGATACGTGTGACCGCAAGTACAAACTTTGAAAACATTATGCTAAGTGAAAGAAATCAGACAAAAAAGACCACATATTGCATGATTCCATTTACATGAAATGTTCAAAATAGGCAGATCTATCAAGACAGAAAGTGTAAGAGTGGTTGCTAGAGGCTAGGGAGAGAGGAAAATGGAGAGTGGCTGCTGATAGGTACAGAATTTCTTTTTGGTATGATGAAAAAACAGAAAATCTTTGAGGCTTTGGGTTGGAGAGAAAGCAAGAACATAAATAGAAAAACTTGATAAACTGGAATTCGTTAAAGCTAACAATTTGCTCTTTAAAAGACACTGCCAAGGAAATAAAAAGACAAGTATACAGATTCAGTACAAAAAATTTTTTTTGCAAAACACATTTCTAAGAAAGAATTTATGCCAGAATATATAAGGAACTCTCATTTGAAAACAATAACCTGGTTTTAAAAAAAAAATAGGTAAAACAACACAATGCTTCATGGAAGATATGAATGGAAAAAAATGTATGAAAACATGCTCAACATCAATAGTCATTAAGGAAACACAAAACCACAAAGAGAAACCACTATCCATGTATGAGAACGGCTAGCTTTTAAGAAACTGGTCATACTGCGCATGGGCAAAGAGGCAGGGCACCCGGGACTCCCTTCCATTGCTGGCGGGGACTCAAAATGGGACAGTCACCAGGAAAAGTTTGCTAGTTTCTTATATTCACTTACCAGATGGCTTAGCAAGCCCAAGCCTACGTCTTTATTTACTCAAAAAGACATGAAAACAGATGTCCACACGTACACCTTACGAGAACTGCTTATAGCAGCTTCAGTCATAATTGCCAAAAGCTGGAAACAACCCAAGGGTCCATCAACGGCTGAATAAACCAACTGAAACTCTCACGACAGACTTTTTTTTTTTTTTTTAAATAAAAAGACCCAGAAGCATTGATGAGAAACCCAAGGCAAGTCTGAAGGAACTTCAGCTGTAATAATACCAAAATGACTGCAACAAAGCAAATACTAGAGTCATCTTGGGAAGATCCAAAGGTATTTTTTAAATGTTCTCTGCTTAACCTGGGACTAGGGAGCGTAGTTCAAGGACCACCCTGAGTCACACTGCTGGGATCAGTTTCCAGGCTCCTCCACTTACTAGTTCTGTGATGTTGAGCACAATAGCTGTACCAACCTCACAGTGTCAATGTAGAGATTAAAGGAATTTATATATAGGGGTGCCTGGGTGGCTCAGTCACTTAAGCGTCTGACTTTGACTCAGGTCATGGTTTCACGGTTTGTGAGTTCGAGCCCCACATCAAGCTCTGTGCTGACAGCTCGGAGCCTGGAGCCTGCTTCCCATTCTGTATCTCCCTCTCTCTCTGCCCCTCCCCTGCTCACACTCTGTCTCTCTCTCAAA